GAGTCCTTCCTTCTCATTAGGTGGCCAAAGTACTTGAGTTTCCTCTTCAGGATCTGGCCTTCTAAAGAGCAGTCAGGGTTGATCTCCTCTAAGACTGACCTGTTGGATGGCTTTGCAGTCCAAGGGACTCTCAGGAGTCTCCTCCAGCACCAGAGTTCAAAGGCCTCCATTCTTTGGCGTTCAGCCTTTCTTATGGTCCAACTTTCACAGCCATCCATTGCAACTGGGATTATACAAACATAAAAACATATTAAGCCACACATTTCATTGCTTTAAATAAAGGGAAAAAGAGGAAAACAGATAAGGAAGAAGCAAATAAGCAAAAAGAGAGACAATTCATCCATGCACGTATGTACAATATATATCTCACACAGAGGGAGATATAAAATGGAACAGCTTTTAAACAAAGCACTAAACTTGGATCACACAGAGTTATGCTGATTATTTTTCCCCTTCTGTCAATAAAGAGTTTGTTCATAAGAGAAAACAGTCACATATCATTAGTTTTTTTTCACCATACAAGAGTTCTCTTTTTTGTTCTCTCTGGGTTGACTGTAGGAAGTTATCACCCAGCCCTCACCCAGAAAAATGAAATATATTTCTAGGAAATATTGAAAAATTATAATTTTTACAATATTTTAATATTCATGACTTTTAGCTTTATCACTGGACATCTGTTTTGATTTGAACAGAGAAGTTCAAGTCAAAACAGATGTCCAATGATAAAGCTAAAAGTCATGAATATTAAAATTCCTATGACCATATAACTGTCAATTAGATTTTTTCCTATAAAATATCAATATGCTTGAAGCACCTTAAAAGAATTACTGCTAGAATTTCTCTAGGTGCATAGAACAATTATTAATATTCATTTGTATAACCCTTTCCTTTTCCCATTAATCTGTTGAGATTTTTAAACCATTCTCTTAGATCAAGTTTAATCTGAGGTCATAAAATATTTACACCTAGACATTTTGCTTAGGAATTTTATTCCAAGGTATTTTTACAGATTTCCATAAAGCTTAAAGAAAGTTCTTGAGACTTACTCCGATTGAGTTGTTATTATTGATTATTACTATTTTACCAGTTATAAATAAATTCTGAAGGAGAAAGTTTTTAAATTCTTAATAATAAATATATCATGAGTCTACATTGATGATATACAAGTAGCACTTCAGCTCCGATTCCTTTCAAGCTCAGAATGTCCTACAGTTGTCTAGCAAGACAAACAAATGTTTCTACCATCAAATTAAATATAATACCATTTATAGTGCATTTGTAATACAATTAATAGAAAAGGAAGTCCATATTAAACTAAGATTCCAATGCTCCCTTGTAATGAAGGCTTTGTCTATATCCCTACAAAACCTTTACTACTAATTCCAGGTTTTGAAATGTAAATCTGGTATACTAATTAACAATCCAATACTTGGCGTTTAATGAAGAATTAAGACTAAAGCTTTCACAATAGCAGCCTTATTCTGCAAGTCTGCAAATCTTTAACAAAATGAGAGAGAGAGAGAGAGAGAGAGAGAGAGA